CAGGACTGGAATTTCACCTTTAGAGTTTAACTAGGTGAAGCATTTTTCTGGTTCTTGTTGCTGAGAACCACTAACTTCAGCCCAATTGACCAATTTTCATGCCTTGTTTAGTCACTTTGGTGCACCGGCTGGTTCAGCAGTACCATAAATTATCTAATCAATAAGACGACCACCCTCAGATTTCCGTGCCTCCTCCTCCTATAAAACAAGACCCGTCAGTGTCTCACTGTATGAGGTGCAGAAATCCTGAAAAAAGGCCGTTAGTAAAACGAGGTAATTGCCTCACGTCTAAATGAGTCTCCTTTGTGTGGAGAACAATGTGATGTCCTACTGTGTCATCAAGGTCCCTAGGCAACAAACCACACCGTGTGGTCTTTTCAGCGTCCCTCTATTGCCCGTGTAGCCCCGGCGGGTACCTGTTAAGGAGCACACTCCAATACACATTATGGCCTTTTTATGTCATTTGAGCCGCCTTTACCACAAAGTCAATTTGTTGCCTGACTGAGATTTAGATCCAGCATGAGGACAAGAGATATGAGCTAAACAGCAGTTGCTGCGAATACTATAGAGATTCTTCTCACACAGAAGCAACAAAGGCAGCTCAGATTGCACTAACACGGGGTCACATCAACATATCATCAGTTTATCAGATTTATTATTGTCCCAGGCCTTTTTAAACGATGACATCACTCACCATCAAAGTGACGCGATCTGTCGACCTTTGCCATAACCCTCATTACGTTTCACAGACACACAGAGATGGCACCAAGAAAAGGTGATGTCAAAGGTCATTTTCCCCTCACTGGTTTGTACTTTTGAGAGGGAGGATAAAAAAAAGAAAGAAACGTCACCACGTCGAAGAGAAAAGGAAAAAAAAGGAGAGGAGCTTTTGTCGCCTGCCATTGAATCAGCCAGCGTGAAGAAAAAAGCACAACCGTGTAAAATCAGTGTCGAAGTCGGGGGAGGACCCCAGCAGCAGTGTGCTTTTTTTCTCCTCCGCCGCAGCCTAAAGGAGCTCCCATTGTCCCTCTTGTCTCCCCCCCACCTCCAACACCCACCGTGGGGTCGGTCCACTATTCATGGAGCAAAATGAAGCAGGGAAAGGTATGTGACTATGAAGTCGAAGACATGAAACACAATGAAAGAGCGCCTGTGTGTGTGTGTTTCTCAATCTTCACTTTCTCTCGCTTGTGGTCAAAAGAGTGAAAGCCTCTTTTTCACCACAATTAATCGCAGGAATTGTAACGACACTCATCACTCTCTAATCTGTCACGTGCAGTTCACTGTACGTGACCTGTGGGTAAATAGAAACCATCATGTGCTTCTCTTATCAGCAACACGGTACAGCTGTAAGCAGAGGTCAGCATGGCCACTTTGTACAAGTGAAACAGTCTGTTAGTTCCATAAACTCAGGCACAACAGAGCCTCTCCATTAAAGACACAGCTGAACAGACAGCTTCCTGTCAGTTGAAGGAGGGAGGCATGAGTTGTGTCTCTGCAATCTAAAGATAACACTCAAACCTCACCCCGGGGACTAATGGAGGGGAGAGACGGGTCAGGAAAAGGAAACAGACGACTAATAAACAGTATAATTCTTTGGGAGTATTTGCATTTCCTCTTTAGTTGATCCTGCACCAGCACCTGCAGCACTGAGGATAGTCAAGTGTTTCTCTTTAGTGAGCAAACGGTTATGTTATTTTGTAGGTGTGATTTTTAACAAAATGTTACACACAAGCTAAAAACAGACCCAAGGACTTGGGTTGATTTGCTTCACCCTGCCAATGCTGGGACAGAAAAAAAATAAATTTGATTTGCAGTGATTTAATTAGGCCACTATGGTGCTGAAGTAGCATCAGTGCTAATTCTGTCCAATTCTATTGGAGAGATAGTGCAGCACTCAAGAGATATTTCTGGCAGCGCGCTATTTCCACCGGAGCAAATTCACTGACTGACACTGATCATATCAAGTTTATTGTAGGCCATGTTTGTGCTGCTATGCAAATTCAATCTGACACGCCTTAATGTCTGCGTGCCGGCCTGTCTTTGAGTGTAATCTCAACAGTTTGTGCTGAGAAACTGAACATACAGATCACCTTACAAAGAAACCCCCCCACAAAACTCAGCATCAGGGCGTTTTTTTTTGTCCCCCCTCACCCTCACCCCCACCCACACACACATACACTCTCTGCCATGTGGTTTGTTTTTCCTTACCATATCTGCATGTGGCCCCTGATAGGAAAACAGTCTGCAGCACTGAGGATCCTTGCGGTAGATGATGGACAGCAGCACCACGATAACCACGAAGAACACCAGAGAGGAAACTGCTTGAAGCCGGAGAGAATGAGAAGTCACTTAATCACACTGAGTCAGACACTGTGCATTTTCTTTCCACTCACTTTGCACATTTGAAGCCTGTGATGAGTTTTTTTTTTTAAATAAAAATGTGCTTATTCGCTGTTTTTAAATGTCAGTCCATCTCTACAGTCAAAGTTTCTCTGGTGTGTTTAAAATGACAAACTCAAGTGTCTAAGCTTGTTTTTAATGGGCTTGGTAAACATAAGAGCCAAAGCTGAGACATTAAAAGCCTGTATATATATATATATAGCTATCTGCATGTGTGGCTAGATTAAATCCAAATGCTGTATCCAAATGTCTCCCTCTAAAGAAACGATTTTTACTCGAATTACATCCTTAAAGCTTTACTTACAGGACGCAGCGACCACTGTGAGTTGATCAGATGTCAGCTGGAAGGAGGGGATGGTTGGAGTTGCAGTTGTGGACATTTCTCCTTCGTGAACTGTTAATCTTCCCTTTACAAATCCTCCTGAACTCTTCGGCCTCAGCGCCGGGGCTCTCATCTTACAGATCAGAAAAGGAAACTGTCCTCCTGTCGCTCGTCTTCATCGTGCGCTCAGTCCCGGACAGGCTGGCAGTCCACATGCGCTCTGCAAAGTGGGGATCTCAAACTCTCTCCACTCGGTCAAACACGCCACACAGCGTTTAAGAGCCCGTGACGGCGCACTGACGCCCTCCCCGAAGCGCGCGTGACGTCGCTGTGGCTTGGAGCCGGACAGCAGCATTGGTTTTGTTTATGGACTGACTGACACTGACTGGAAGCAGCAGCAGCGCACGGGCACACAGACTCATTACTTAGGCTAATAGGCATTTTTAAGCTGGACCCCTCTCTATGTGCGGAGGACACCAGGCCACGGACACGGAAAACAGCAGCGTCTGTGCTGCTGAATAAATATTACAGCAGGTTGCTATTGCTGCTTCCTCCGCTGTTTAACTAATGGCATCCAGACCAGTATAAGTTAGTTAACACCCCGGATTCCTGAGCTGGAGTCCCGTTACCCTGGCAACCGCGGGTGTCCCATCCTTAGAGGCTTTCTACACAAACAAAGACCCAAAATGTACCATTAGTATTCATAGATGGAAACTATGAAAACATGCGCCCCCGCCCTTTTTCTCCTTTTTTACTAGATAAACTTCATAAAGTATGTCACCCCAGATACTTTCATTATTTTATATCTTAAAGGTGGAGAGAGGCACTGACATCCCGTAGACAGGATAAAACAGATCTCTTAATATGCACTTCACATATCTGGCTGTGGCCCAAGCTTGCTGAATTGAATCAGTATATTATACTTTGCCCTCGAGACAGCGAGGAGAAATTAGTTTTGCATACTGGCCATCCTTACAGGGAGAGGGAAGTAACTAAAACTTGGAAAAGCCAAACTCCAGCAAGCTTTTTAAGTAATAAGTATTCATTCGAGTCAGCGTATTTTACACAGTAATAAATACATAAATAACAAATCCGTAAACATACAGTTTAGTGTATCATTTTATAATGAAGTAATTTTCTGAATTCGTTTTCTTAACTGATATTTTGTGGCATTTCGTTGTTGTTGTTGTTTGTTTGTTTGTCTGTTGTTGTTGTTGTTGTGTTTTTCTTTGGGGGGGGGGGTGTTATACCACGTATTGAATTTTACTATTTATGTAAATGCATATGAATGGGTGTTGATAGGCAGGCCTAATCAGTACAGAAAATTTAAAAATGCCTAATTCAAGTAAAATCCTGACCCATAACGCTGAAGGTGATCTGATGCCTTTGTTATGCTGCGGGTCTCGTCGCCACCTTGGAGGGAAGGGTGACTGCAAATCAATACACAGCTTTTCTGCCTAATTACCTTTGTTCTATGATGAAACACTGCTATCCTTAAGGGAGCGGTCTCTCTTTCAGGAGAACAATGCCCTCATCCTGACTGACTTGGCTTACTTTTACTTATAAAAGTAAAGTAAAATGTTTTTTATATCACACTTTCAAGAAAATATCACCGTGCACCTCATCAGATTTGCCAGATTTCATTAAATATAACATTTTTACAACGCACTTATGTAACAAAGTTTAAAAAAAAAAGGGGGGGGGGGGGGTCATATGAGCTCTGGGACCTGTTGGGGATGTAAATGTCTGACTTATGGTTTTGCAGTAACTCAACCCAAATGAACACCTACGGTGGATTCAGTTCTGAATCAAAGCACCAAATGAGGGGCCATGTTTTGGGGGAAAACTGAGCTCCGATGTAAAGGCTGACCTCCTGAAACTTGAATCTCAATGCTAACTGAAGATGCTATGAAGTGTAGTGTATGTTAGATTTTCCTTTAATATGTCACCTGTCAGTGTCATGTTATGTCTGTACCTGGAAGTTGAAGGAAAATATAATGCATTTTTTTATTTATTCTTTTATTTTGTTTCTGATACCATTACACTGATGCTGAAGAAATAAGAAAATAGAAAATGAATTAAAAAAGAACGTTTACTTATTTATTTTTATTTCAGGCCATTGGAAATATAAAAAACTAATGTGAGTGAATGCTATAAAATACAGTCAAATAAATAAATAATAATTATTATTATAAGCAGTTCTAATCGTCTTTATAACTTTTTCCAGCAAACCGGGATGTTGAGCGACCCCGCGTGGGCGCGCCGCTCAGAATGAGCCCTGCACGCGCTCCCAGTCAACCGGAGTCGGAAAAATGGTGGCCAGCGTTCGAGTGCAGAAGCTGCTCCGACGATATAAACTAGCGATTGCCGCCGCATTAACTATCCTCCTGATTCAAGGGCTTGTGGTATGGAGTCTGAGAAGCCTGGAAGAAGGCGAGGCAGAGGTGAGGAACCGATCCTCCGGGTGTATTTGGCGTGACAGCTATTCGCTTTGGTTTAATTGTAGAGCTAGCCGTTAGCACTTAGCCCCCTGTGAGTTATAGCTGATGTTAGCTGTTAGCAGTTGGGGAAGAGCGCTGCTCCCAAACATTTCAGCACAACGGACCAGCCCTGTCCAGCCCTCCTACCTACCTACCTACCTACCTACTTGCCTGCGTGTCTGTCTGTTCCTCAGTCTCTCATTGACCACACTACCTGGTGAGAAAGTATTCGTTGCTAGACTGTCACAGCCATGAAACCAGAGGAGTAGTTAAGTGGTAGTTAACTTGTTTAAGGAACAGCGGTGAGCTTGGGTACCACCGCTCATGTTTATTTCTTTTGGAAACCATGGCGTTGTTAAAATGTGATGAAAAACAGACTGAGGGGAATATCTAAGACGAATAGTATGCTATGAAGTAATGTAAGTTTGAGGGAGCATGAGAACAGACTGGTGATTCATTGATCCCAAACACTTCATCAGTGTGAGCAGGACCGCCTTCATGTAGTAGTTCCAGGATGACTTGGATCTCTTTTGTTTTATGTTTCCTACTTATTTATATCAACCTGTGGATTGTGATGTGCTTGTGGCTGTTCTGTGACTTTCAATTAGCTTTGAGTCATACCAAAAAGTTCAGCAGAGAGCTGCCTCTCCTACATACCACTGAAACCGTTTCTTCGACAGTAGCCAAGTCTTGTGTGGGAATTTTTTTCCCTGGGTCTCCCTGGCACACCTGGAGTGCGCTACCTTGAGGCAGTTTCTGTTCCAGTTCTCCCTCTAAGTCAGGTAACCTGAGCAGTTAACATAGATAGGTGAACCATGCGTGTACAGGACTCATTTTTTGAGACACACCAGTGATGATGGAGCCACAGGAATGCACACTGAAAACTGAGGTGGGAGCCCTGCCAGCTCACTATTGTGATGTATCAAGCAATGTGGTGGTGTAATTTTTTCCAATGTGGATAGATTGAAGTTCTGTGCCTGGCAAGGTTTAAGGCAGGCAACAGATGTAACAGTGGCCGAGTGGGAGGGGAGGGGAGGGGAGGGAAAGATGTTTGGCTGTTCCTTCAGAGAAAGGGAAAAAGATGGGTCATTACTCTGCGGACAGTAGCCTCTGTTTGCCAAGGAAATGATTTGCTGCTGACCACTTCAGTTTAAACCATGAGCTAATCGGTCAGATGGTGATGTTAGACTAAATAAATAAATCATTTCCTTTAAATGCAGCAAGTGAGTCAACTTTTCTTGCTGAAGTGATTTTGAGAGAGGCTCCGGCTTTCATCACCTGTTTCTGTTTGCTGTTTCATCAGTTGTATTCATGCTTAAACATGCCTCAGCAAAGATAAGAGAAATGTGTGCAGGGCTGTGGTTTCTGTGTTTAAATGCAGCTCTTCTGTGTTTCTAAATGAGCAGAAGTGCACACTGCTTTATAGAAGCTCAACTGCACCTCGGGGGTTGCTGTTGAGTGTCTCAGATGAAAGCATAATGGTCTTAAAGTTAAAAGGTGTGCAGGTGGATGGGAAAAGAGCTGCACTGGTTGTTTGCTTCACTGTTAATCAGATTTATTTATTGACTGTTTTTAATCTTTGGGCCCTGAAGTTGTGGCACTACCACTCAGCACAAATGTCAGCTCTATATGCAACTATGTTGGCAGACATCTATGCAAATGTCAGCATTTGGTCTCTGCATGTTTGCACTCTCGCAGATGCAGAATCAAATTTCTGACTTGAGCGTGCACATTAATCATCACTTCACCTCTGAACGGTCTCCCCGTGCTCAGCGATCTCTGCCTTATCTTGCATCTGCTCTAATCAGCGTCTGGCAGTGCATGTGTGAACACGGTCACATGCGTTATATTAAATCCCTTGGGCAGAAGAGCGAAAGGATTTCGAGGACAGAAGAAGACATGACGCTTGTCATCCTCGTATCACCCTCTGCACGCCCGGGTTCTCCTGCAGAGCTGAGTGCTCGCTGCTGCTGCAGCTTCACGCTTCAGCAGATGGCAACGCTGATATGGTTTCACTCGACTTTAATTGGAAAGTAAAGAGGCTGACTGGCTTGCCTTTGAATCAATACATTTTTTTTTTTTGACATGATGGCGTTAATTAAAAGCTGTGAACACAAGTGATAAGGAAAATTGAAATGTTAGCCCGTGCTGCGTGCTTGGCTTTCTGCACAAAAAACATGTCAGCTGGCAGCTGAAAACTAAGCTTTCTTATGAATGTTTGCTGGCAATCATGCTTGTTGTTATCATGCCATTAATGTTTTTATTATTATTCTTTTTTTATTTAATTGAATTTTACAGGAATTTGATTTTCAGAACAAAAAGTTTTTGTTGGCATTTTTACATATTTATGCCGTATTAATGCCACATTTTGCAGCTGTGGCGTTTTGCATCAAATACAATGGCAACAAAAAAGGATAAATCTTTGTTAAGTAAGGCAACATGGGTAGTCACTCTCTAAGGCCTATTCTGAGTTAGTGTCGTGCAGCTGGTCAGACCACAGATTTCCTCCCAGCACTTCCACAGAAGCTGAGGTTGTGTTTAGTTTGGCCTTTGAGTGTTGTGAAATTGACATAAAGATGTAACTAAAGCACCCGCTCTTACACCGATTAAAGGATGCAAAGCTTTCTTGATGAGTTGACATGTATGGTGTCATAATTTCTCAGAAAGATGGCAAGGTTCCTTAAATGTATATAAGCATCTTCCAGTAGGTTTGCACTGCACTGACTGCTGTGTAAGTTTACTTCACAATCCCTCTTACTGTATTGGATTTGAGACTGCAGTTGGCAGCCAGTAGCTGACTTTGCTTTATTGGTTGGCAGCTGGTGTGTTGGCCATGTATTATCTGGCTCCTCGTCCCACCGCACAGGCCCGGTCCATCTTCTGTTCCCACAATCTCTGGGCTGTCGGGGTGCCAGCGGTGTGAGGCGAATGAGCGGGCCCACGTTTTACCATAACTTCTGACAGAGGCAGAACACTCTCACCCACTCGCTCTTCTTTCTCTTCTCCAAATGAATATTTTGAAGGGACTTTTTATATGAACCAGTAATTTAGTGTGCCAAAACTATGATGTTATTTGGCTAGAAGATTTAAAATGGCTTAAACTGTGTGCGTGTGAGTGTCTTTCCCTCCAAAAAAGTCCTCTGCCTTTATTTTTTGAGGTGTGATTTCTACTCCAGTGAGACTGATTCACTCCAAGCTTTTGCTTTGAAACCGAGCCTTAGATGTAAAACTTAAACTGGGTCCTCTTTCATTTTGATACAACATCAGTTTAGATGATAACACACTATTCTCTATGATGCATTCTTTTGTTTTGTTTTTTGCACTTGAGGAAAGAGACCTTTCTAGCTTTCATTAGTGTTTACATAATTTTCCTGCTGGGGAAAACGGGCAGCTCTGCACCTGCCCCAAAGCTGATCTTTCCCTTTTATGTTGACATTTTCACAAAAGTACAACTATATGACAAACACTGGGTGGACTTAACATTTAGAGATTTTACGGCCAGAGACTGCAGCAGTGGGACACTTCACTGATTTTATTATGTCAAAGCATTTATAAGAAGGTCTTATCTTGACATTTTAAGGAAGCTCTCAAGCCTTGGTTTGATTTTTAAGAGGTTACAGTCAAACACTATCAAAGTTAGTGCTTTACAGATTATTTTTTTTTTATAATAAACTAAAATGATAGAATATTGTTGTTAATTTGTCACAAAGTCCCCCTGAGCTCTGTGAGATAATTTTAGCACTAAAGTGCAAATAAATTTGCCAAATTGTCACTTCTTAATGTGTGTATGAAGGGGCTGTAAACATGTGACCTACTTGCATGTGTGTGCATTTTTCTGCCTGTGATTTTGGCCAGAGGGAGGAAACTCAGGTCGGTACAGTGAATCACTGGAATCATGTGTGACTGTCCACTTTTTGCAGATTAGCTCCATAAAAAGGCAGAGGCTCAGCTAAAAATAACCCAGATCGGCAGAATGAAAAAAACAAAAGCAAGTAAACACATCCTTCCCTCTGGGGCTCTGTCTACTGCTGCCCTAGTCGAGGTCTTTGTTTACCTTACGTGTCATTTCTGTGGATTCATTATGATTCATTATGACTCCAAAGAAATAACGCCTCCTCTCAGTAGTGGTTGTCCAAGATATTCTTATGGAATGACTGGCAACAGAGCAGGATTTAAAATATGTCTCATGTCTCTGCTCTCTCTCTTTCCTCAGAGAAAACTAAGACAGTCTAAGCTGCCTGACCACGACAACCAGGACCCCAAGAAAGACAACGCACAGAATTCATTGTCGGGGAGAAACAAGGGAAGCAATGGTGCCAGTGCACTGAGGAGAGGGAGCAGCCGCCGTGGAGGGAAGCCCAACATCAGGCTGAAGACCCCCCAGGAACGGGGAATGACAGGGGTTGGAGTAGATGGTGTAGTCCCCCACGATCTCTCCAGCAGCCGTAACCTTAGCGAGATCCGCCCAGACGGGGTAGGCAAGTTACCTGCTGCTGCCATACCAGGAGAGCCAGGCAGCGTGGACGGGGCGCACCAAGCCCCCAACAGTGACTTTGTGCCTAAATGTGATATCATAGGAAAGGATGCGCTGTCTGCTCTGCACCGCGCCGCGTCACAGCAGTGCAGACAGGAGATCGCCAACATCGTGTGCCAGCATCAGGCCGGGCAGCTCATGCCAGAGTCACTCCCTCAGTTCTGCCCTCAGCTTGGTGAGAACCCGCTAAAGTTTGCTTGAGTATTTATAATCACGTGTAGTCTACAAACTTCAACGTGAAAGGAGATGAATGTAAAAAATGAACAAAATGACACTTTTTGACATTTACTGTAATTTTTACTCACCAGTGCATTTTCAGTCTAGACATTCTTTGTTGCCAAATTTCCTTGACAGTTATAGGATAATTTTGTTTTATAGATTTTGTTATTTTTCAGTCTAACAATGTTGTAGCTGTTACAGTTTTCTTTGGTACATAATTAAATATGTACTAAATTCAAATACTAAAAACAAAAAGATTTGACCCACTATGATAAACAGCAACAAATAGCTGTTTCATGTCCTTAACTCAGAAGCATCTTTCCATCTTTTGCCCATTGCTATGCTTAGTTTTAGGGTTATACATTATAGATCGTCAAATGTCTCTGATTATATAGCCACATTTAGGGAACTTGTTTGCAACTGCAGTATAATGCAGGGGTTGCACAGGGCCAAAAGACTCAACCCACGCCTCTGGCTCAGTTGTGCCATTACTGTAAATGCAGCTTGCAGTGTTGCTGAGTTGGACGCTTTGTCAAAAAGGAAAGTAAAAGAAAACCCTTTTAGATTTTGAATACTTCAGATATGTAACATGGTAAAATTAAATCTCTTTCAATCCATTAATAGTGCCTGTTAAACAGCTAGCTTAGAGGTGCCCCCAAGCCTACTGAGTCATATTTGTCTGTCCTATTGGGACAGGTGTGTCACACCCAGTTCAGGCTGTTGGTGAGCTGGAAGACAGCCTATCCGAAGTGGAGAACCCCGTCAGAGTGGCTTTCGTTCTGATGGTCCACGGCCGTGCTGTACGGCAGCTCAAACGTCTCATCAAAGCCATTTATCACCGTGACCACTATTACTACATCCATGTGGATAAGGTAATTACAGAGCTTCAACTGCCATGCAGTCTCTTTAGACAGTATTATTTTTCGTGCTTAAATATTATATTAAACAGTATGTGTTTGGTGCACTCACAGATGCTTTTCCCAGTTAGATCTTCTTGCATTATGAAGGTTAAATTTATCCCACAGTGTAGTAAAGGGGATTAGCCTGGATAAAGCAAAGTGTGGTTATTCTTAGGGGCTGGATTTAGTGGAGGAAAGGTCTGCTGTCATGTGCAGCCGGAAGGCAAAAGACAAATGCACGGCTGGTACTGAGGCAGGGACCTCAGGTGTGTTGAGCAGAGACAGCAGAGAAACAGGTGCCTGTTCTCAGTGCACCTGTGTTGCCGGAAAGGTTGTGGAGACGTAGGGAGTTGCTCTGTTCTGCTGCCAAGGGACGGCAGAGCAGCTCACCGGAGGCAATGATGGATAAGACGTCAGTAGGACAATCACACCACAGACAGTCTTAGATACTTTGCTTGCCTAACCTCATCCATCTCAGAGGCAAAAGCCTGTTTGAGAGATGGGGCTGTAAAACAGGTCAGGTTTGTCCTAGAAAATGTCTGCCAACTGCTCTGCTCCCTCTTATCCTGTCCTCTTCTTCTCCTGTTTAAAGGCGAGCACTGAGTTCAGACTACTCTTTTACTATTCGTTCTCCTATTTTCTAATTTCTGAAAAAAAAACAGTGTACCCTTTTCATACTATACAATCTTTATGTCCTCTTTTAAATATACAAGACAGAATCGATACCCTTTGTTCATGCTTTGCTAAACACAATTGGACTTTGTGTCCCCAAACAGTCACTTTCGAAGTGTCTGTGTCTCCCTAAACTGCCCATTTATTGCTTCACAACGTTTATTAGCTCTCCTTATTTGTGAACAGGCCCCTTGTTAATTAGGTTATAATTAATCAATTTAAGTTCCAAGTAGAAATAATAAAAAGAATTGTTGAACCTTCAGTTGTTGGTGTCTTGCATATTTCAGACACTTGCAGTGGTCACATGTTCACTCACTCAATTTTTAATACCGCTGCATAAAGCTTGGCAGCTCAGCAGCCTCTATTTCTTCCTTTAATCCCCGCACTGTGGTTTGTTCCAGACTATCTTTTAAGCTCAGTTCATTTATTTTTGTCTCACCTGCAGTCACCTAAAGGAGAAACAGCCAGCAACAGAAACTAATTTTGATTCTTCCTCTATCGTCATTATGACCCACAGCACAGAGCACCATGTGGCTGTTGTTCTTCTCAGATCAAATTCTCTTTCAACAGGAGCCAGTTTTGTGTGATGGTCTTGGCACAGTGGCAGCTGCAGCTCTGTGAGAACAAAGCTAAAAGTAGATTATGCTTTTGTTTCAGAAGCAGCCTCTCCTCATTTAACTCTTTAACTGACTTTTGGTTTTAAAACTCTGACAGCGGTCTGGCTACATGCATCGGGAGGTCCTGCAGATAGCCCAGCAGTACCCAAATGTGAGAGCCACGCCATGGCGCATGGTCACCATCTGGGGAGGAGCCAGCCTTCTCAAAGCCTACCTACGCAGCATGCAGGATCTGCTCTCCATGCTGGACTGGAAGTGGGATTTTTTCATCAATCTCAGTGCCACAGACTTTCCAACTAGGTTGGTCACACACACATATACACAGAAATAAACTCAACAGTTAATCTTTGTTGCACTTTACCTAAGGTGTACATTCACTCCCACATTTGAGCCTAAATCCATGCAGTGCAAGATTAAAAAAAGATGCTTTGAGTTTAGATGGGTTACTGAAGAGGGGACATAGATATGTGAGGCAGGAGTTGCTCAGTGAATCTCAGGCCAAGTGAAAAAAGAGGATTAGACAGATTGTCAATGAACGTCTGCCACAGAGGGTCATGGGAGATCAGGATGGTCATAAACTGTATAAATTCAAGCTTTTACCTGAAGCCCTAGTAATGCCCAAAGCTGTCTTTGACTCTCTCTCGCCCTCTTGCTATCAGTTCAGTTTCCTGCCATCAAAAGCAGTGCTGAGACGTGTGGGTGTGTAGTGAAACATTGCAGCATGGTGTTGCTTCTGCTCCTGTCAAAATCATTGAACCGCCACAAAAGAAACTGAACAGCTGGTTACACTACTTATCTTTCATAATCCCAAACAGAAAAGGGTGTCTTGAGCCATTTTCACTCTGTCACAGTGAAGTTTATTTTAGAGCTAAAAAAAAAAAAAAAAAAAAGCATTTTAGTGTGCACTACCTCTTTAACCTACTTTGTGTTTGTTGTATTCCCTCAAAGTTTGCATCTTGAGCCATTTTTCATTATTTTTGAATGCCTCTTTCCCTTTCGCAAAACTGCACCTACAATTACGGCGCTTTTTACAGCAACATTACAAAGAAACTTAACAGTTGGCAGATAAGAGAATCTAGTGGCAGCTTCAAATGAATTATTTTGGGCATGAATCAGTTTTGGCTGGCTTGTTTCTGGGGCAGCTTTGAACCCCTAACAAAGCAGCTGTTAGTCCACCTGAACCATCTCAAGGGGAAAAGGCTTGCTTGGATACACACAGAAAGACAATGTTTTCTGTGCTGTGTCCAGAGTAGTTTATTTCAGCTAGCACGATACTCATAACACAGTCCAAAGAACCCTGTAGATGGCCCTTTTTTTGGTCTCCTGCTTCAACATAACCTTTCCTCCTTTCAATTCTCACCATAATGCCCTCCTGCAGGACCAATGATGAACTGGTGGCTTTCCTGTCGCTGCACAGAGATAAGAACTTTCTCAAGTCCCATGGGAGAGAGAATGCCCGGTGAGTTTGCTACATAAAGGCAGCACAGTCTGCAAATACTGACATCGGGATGGCATTTTGACTTATAATTACATTTGACACACCTTTTAATACTACAGAAAAACTGTAACTGAACAATGTTAATGAATGAAATCACAAAAAGTTGCTCTATAAATTCTCAGCAAATAGAAGTGTATTTAAATATTGCTGCAGATACAGATGAGCTGGGGAGCAGAGAGCTCTGTCAGATCCATTATTTAATGCAGTGTTACAGTTCTTTATCATTTACTGCGATGAATGGTGCAAATACCTTCACCCGTGTCTCTTCCACCCATCATTTTCAGCTGTGTCCTGTGTTCCAGGTTTATTAAGAAGCAGGGCCTTGACCGTCTCTTCCACGAGTGTGACAACCACATGTGGCGTCTAGGCGAGCGCAACATCCCCGAAGGCCTGGAGGTCTCAGGCGGCTCCGATTGGTTTGCACTCACCCGCCGTTTTGTGGAGTACGTCATCAACTCCCAGGACGAGCTTGTGTCGGGGCTGAAGCAGTTCTATTCCTACGCTCTGCTTCCTGCTGAGGTAAGCGAGCTGTAGGCAGTCTGTTTATCTCCCGTTGTTGAGACAGTTTCATATACAAGCCTGTCTCAGGCTCGTCGTCCCCTGCCAAGTCAGAAGAGCCTAGCAGCAGAGATAATGTAATACTTTAAGCTTTCTGGCACAGCGTGCAGCAGAAGTGCAAGATGAGGAGGCTTCGCTATATTTTATCTGTGTAGTTTGGTCTCAGAAGAGTTGTCTGTTCACCGCTATAGAGCTGTGACCTTTTTGTAATTTAGAGTGTGGTTAGAAACAGTTTATACGTATATTTGATGGTTTACACAAGCTTAATTTGGACACAACACTTGGCCACACTGTTTTCTCACACAGTGAAGAAATAACGTACCTACTCCTACCCTTTCTTCCCAGTCTTTCTTTCACACAGTGCTCGGGAACAGTCTCATGTGTGACACCCTGGTGGACAATAACCTGCGCGTCACCAACTGGAACCGTAAGCTGGGCTGTAAATGTCAGTACAAGCACATTGTTGACTGGTGTGGCTGCTCTCCCAATGATTTTAAACCACAAGACCTCGTTCGAATCCAGGTGAGTTCAACAGAGGATGCCACTTTAAAACAAAAAACAGGGCTGGGTGATATAGACAGAAGCCATATACACTCAGTGGCCACTTTGTTAGGTACACTTTGCTAGCACTAGCACTAGGTTATATTTAAAAACATTTTAAATATTTCTTTCCTCAATCAATTAGTTTGTATTATTATCTGGCTCCTGGAGTTCTTTGGGGTTAGTTCTGACTGCAAGCAAGGAAAGGCACACAAAGTAGACTAATGAGCCCTGTTTCTGTAAGATGGGAAATCACTGTTTTTCTCAACAGAGTCCGGTGGTTTTGAATAAGCACAAGGGCAGAACTGCAGATACTTTACAGAAGAAGGGCTTTATTTAATGCTAAATCAAACTGACTTTAACTAAATTCTAATTCTTTGTCAAATATGTTTTTGCTATTTTCTCTTCCTCATCCACAGCAACTGACCCGTCCAACATTCTTTGCCCGCAAGTTTGAGTCCTCGGTGAACCAGGAGGCCATAGACATCCTGGACACTCACCTGTATGGCCAGTATGCTCCAGGAACTGTTGCTATCAAGGCATATTGGGAGAGCCTGTTTGAGCAGCTGGACGGCGTGGGCTCTCTCAGTGACGTGGCTCTCACGGCGTACTTGTCATTCTTTCGCCTGGGCCTGAAGAGTTTGGTGACTGCTCAGAGCAACGTGAAGGCCTGCAGGTGGAGAGTCTGTTCTGCTTTGCTTTGTTATTGTCACTAACACAGCGCATAAGCTATTTTCTTTGTCATGTTTAATTTATCTATTTTTTTTCTCCCAGGTTTGAACCAGTAGGCGTCCCTCTATCTGTGCATGTATACTTTTATGATGACCGTTTCCAAGGGTACCTGGTTCGCCAAGAAGTCCAGGCAGTGGAGTCAAAGGCCAGGGAGACTTTGGAGATGTGGGCAGTGCCTCAGGCTACACTCGTCCTTGAGAAGAACCTTAAAGAATTTGAAAGGCTCAAGAATCTTGAAGTAAGCACTCTTTAGGTTTTTTTTGTACAAACTTTCAAGATCAAGACGACTGCAACATGAAGAAGATTTTCTAGCTGATATCTAAAAATTAGGGTGGCTGTATCAGGCGTGATCTGACAAAAGCTAAACTGAAGTTTAATTAGTTTAACAAAAAGTATGTTAATACTGGAAGAAATGAATATTCACTCACCTTCTTCAGACAGAAAGGAGTGGGTCTCTTTTGTAGTGTTGTCAGTGTTGTTGTATTATGTGTTACATCCCTCTGCAGCCCCTAATCATCTCAATGTTTTCAGCTGGTTCTAATTGGCCACACCTAGTCAGGTGTGGATAAAAGCATACCTTAGGCAAGCTTCCTGGGGGAGCTCACTTGCCTTTGCCTTGGTGGCACCAGCTGTTTTAGCCAACCTGCTGTGCATTTTAGGATTTAAAACCTCTTCTCACTAACACTCTGGTATTCATCTCCTTTTTTATGTTGCGGCTTTGAGCCGGGTCGTAACATAAGGCTTTAATCCACAAGGTTCAGTAAAGCAAGCATACTAGTGACCACCCACAAAACGGAGAGCTATGGCCACACAACGATCACATCAAGGGTTGCTCAGCACCCCTCAGTGTTATTGCCATCACCTGGCCAACAACACTCACAAGTGATCCAACAAAACTAGCCATATTTACCACAACACTAAAGGTCACAGCACAAAGCACTCACCTCACAAGGATCTCATTAGCATCCATCAACACTGACATATGCACACACAGTATACATTATGCCAACTTAAAAATGGCCTACCTGCCTCAGGCACAAGACCATAATTATTGAATGGTCTCAAACCTCCTGCCAAGTTTGCTGCCACTGATTTACTATGCGCAACTCCCAACCTAAGATGCTAAAAACAATAAAAGTTTACCTGTCTAGTCTTCAGTGGTGTACCGGACTCGAGGCAACTTTAAACGCCAACTCGAGAGCAGGCAGCAGACCAGAGATATAGTCTCCTACCAAACTCTGTACCCCCACCCAGGATAACCACCAAACACAATAAACTAAAACAACAAAGCAAAACAACAAACAAGTGCTTCGATGGAAGGGCAGCACAGCCACCCAGCTGAAACACACTTACTAAAGGGACGTAGCTCAATCACAGTGAACACCTTCACTCACCCACTTAAAAGCAATACAAAAAACTGATATTCAGTCTCCACCAAAATGTCCAAAGATCCCGGACGAGCCCCCACTTATGTTACAACCTGGCTCAAAGCTGCAACATAAAAAAGGAGATGAATACCAGAGTGTTAGTGAGAAGAGGTTTTAAATCCTAAAATGCATAGCAGGTTGGCTAAAATGGCTGGTGCCGCAAAGGCAAGTGAGCTCCCTCAGGAAGCTTGCCTAAGGTATGCTTTTATCCACACCTGACTAGGTGTGGCCAATTAGCACCATTGAGATGATTAGGGGCTGCAGAGGGACGTAACATATGTCACATAAATTTTTAAAAATATTTTTTAAAAATGACTTTTTTTGTTATCCTAAGATCGGCACAGAGTGGGATCCCAAAGAGAGGATCTTCCGTAACTTCGGTGGGGTGATCGGCCCTTTGGATGAACCTCTGGCAGTCCAGAAGTGGGCACGTGGTCCGAACCTCACCGCCACTATTGTGTGGGTCGACCCGGCTTTGGTGGTGGCGGCATCTTATGACATTACAGTGGATTTGGATGCAGAGTACACACACTACAAACCGCCACTGCAGCACCCCCTGCGGCCGGGCACCTGGACGGTACGGGTGTTAAAACAATGGGAGCGTGTGGCAGAAGTTCACTTTCTTGTCATGCCATTAACTTTTAATAACAAGGAGCCGCTACGCAAAGGTGAGACATGTATTTATAGCTCTTTATTTTCATTTTTAATTTGAAAAGATAAGGCTGATGTTTTTCTTTATTTCACTTTCTGTGACAGAATCACATGATGAAACACCAAATCAGTCAAGCACTACATTTTCCCTAAATACTTGTTCAGTCCTGTGTGTCGCGGTCACAGGGCGTCTCCGTGCCATTTAAAAGTCTTGAACTTCAAATGTGTTCAGTCATGTCATTCCAACATTTTGTGACACACCATTTCAGGCTTGCACACATTTGGTTCACGCAGAAGTTAAAGCCATACTGTTGTTCAGTCTGCTGTAATTGGTAAATGTAAGTGGATGGGTATCAGGTGAATGCATTTATTTTTGCTTCTTTATAGTTTGTCTGACCCTTTCAGGTCAATTTTTGTGAATGCAAATGGTTAACAGTAACAGCAAGTTTTTGTTTATGTCCGCAAACATCTTAAGAATCCCTGAGGCCCAATTGGAAGACGATGCAGCTGAAGATGGTAGAGAAGAAGGAGGCCTTGCTAGTTTTACAGTACCACTTTTAAATAGCTGTCCCAATCAGTACTCTATGGAAAAGAGAGCATGCAGGTTTAATGACAGAAGCTTTTCTAATACTGATTGCTATTGGTGAATAAAGCCAGTCACCAAAAAAGCATGCTGTGCTGAAAGTATTTTTCAGGACATTATATTTTTGTTTTGTTTTCACATTATTAAAACCAATTTCCTAATATTCAAATATGTGTTTTTAGGTAAACGATGTCAGCACTCATAACGCTATTTATTGGGTGTTTTCCTGCCCCTTTATTTATTTAATTTATTTTTTAAAACTCATTTATCATACCAGTCCATGCTGATATATCGGCAAGAAACTAATGTTGGCTATTAAATTCTCTACTTTCCACTATTTTAAACCAATATTATTACATCAACTTAAAAAATATGATTTTCACCTTTGATTTCTGTTTCCAGCATGCTTTATTTGGAAAACAAATGGCAATATAAAGGTTTTAAGACGTAGACGCACCCCTTAAAGTGCCCAAAACTACTCTCTCTCTCTCACACGCACACACACAGAAGTTTGGTGTTGCCTACAAGCTTCATCAGCTACAGTAAATAAACTACAATGCTGGTGTGTGCTGTAATCAATGACCATGCCTACCTGGGCAAACATGGCATCGGCTATGTCAGACTGCACAGTTGATGGTGTTCATTGTTAGTCTTAATCTTTGCATTGGATTTATTGGGAATAAAAACATGCTGAATGTCCCCTGGCGTACATTAGTGCTTGATCATTAAAATCTGAAAACTTTGGTGGATTTTTCAGAAACTCATGTCATCTTCTTCTGATTTTTTTCTCTCCTTCTGTTCTAGAAGAGGACAGCTGGCTTCATGCAGGACCTCCAGGGAACTTGTACCTGGAGCAGAGCTTCCAGCAGCTGAGCTCAGTGCTTAAACTGCCTCCCCAAGAAGCTGCCATGCAGGTGGCCCAGCGTAATGCCCAGTTGGTGGGCCAGGCCCTTGATGCATGGGTGGACACTTCTGTTGAGTCCTTCTGGGTTATCGGCGACTTGTGTGCAACACAGACTTCCTCATGCCCAGCTTTGGGGTCTTGTTCCAAGACTGCCTGGAGCTCATTGTCCCCAGACCCTAAATCTGATATGGGCCCAGTGAAAAGCGATGGGCGGATCAGGTAGCCCTCAGAGAAGAGAGACTGCAGACGTGCAGAGAAAACCGGAGACTGCTAGGAGACCTGTGTGAACCAGGACGTCTCCGAGGTCGGCTAAGAGCTCAAGGGCACATAAGCAACGATAAGGAATCTTCCTCCACCGAGGAGCCACGTCTTTCTCAGCGCCACAGTAATGCAGGCTTGAAAGACAAGAGCATGACTGCTGGAAATTTGCACATAGGAAACTGCAAGCGCCTAGTCTTGTAGCACCGCTTACTGAATGGGTACACGGATGCCGGGTGTAACGTGTTGTTTAAGCTGTCGCACAGGTTTGCGGTAATGATCCGTCTGTGCCGGAGTTTCTTTAAGAAGTGTTCAGGCGCACAGTTTTCCTGCACTTCGGTAGAATCAACAGGCTCCGTGCCGTGCTCAGTCTTCTTTTCGAGGGAGAATCAAACCTGTGAATCATGTTATTGTGCTTATTTTGAAGCATTATTATGTAAGCATTAAGGAACAGATAGATGAAGTGCACTTTACTGTAAGACTTTGGTTTTACACAGAGGTCACTAGGTTACAATGTGAAGATTAGAAGGTAACGGTTAAGGTCATTTCTTTCTTTCTTTTTTACAATAGGAACAAACTGCCACTCCCTGTTGCACAGTCACATAAAATTCTTGGACTGTAACACAGAGAAGGAAGAGTAGTAAAGAGAGTGGGGTTCTTGTGTATCCTTAGGAGTCTTGTGCTTTTTTTTTTTTTACTATATTATTTGTCATTTTTTCACATTTTGTTTGTTAATTTGCAGAACTAGCTGGTAAATTGAGTTAAATTTTCTGTTGTTGCAAAAAAAAAGGCTCTGAGCTAAACGTCTGGTCTAAGGAAGTGCCTGGACTGCTGGTGCAGATAGCGAGGGTGCATTTACAGTTTCTCTGAGATCATCTTTGTAATACGTCTTTAACTGAAAAGGAGGGATGTGCAGTGTGCATGAAAGCTCCAGAACAACAGACGGTGGACCTTAAGTCAGGACTTTTACTTCCGCTGTTTGACCTGTTTCTTATCCACTCTGCTAAAGCGACTCTACTGAGCTGAAGGAAATGTGGGTAAAAATAACGTTTATTCCGATTACTCTCGGCCCACTGGGAGGATTGAAACCACTCTGTTTATATGTTAGCTCAGCATGTAGGCTGGAAATAGGAAGAAGCGGGCAAAAGCCAAGACACTCTACGTCTGAAACGCAGCTGTTTGTTTGTTTTTAAAACAACAATGTCAATGGAAGAGAATTCATTCTGTTTTACCTGTAAGGCCCTCGTGTCTGTACCCTGGCTACTCCGTGCCAGGTGTCAACCAAGGTATAGGACATATAACCCCACCATAACACTAACGACTGTCACGTGTTGTCAGTCTTCTCTCTGCAGAGTAAGCAAGCTTACACAGTTCTCCAAAATGTCAAAGTTCTCTTAAATGCAAGGTTGACCTGCCGTGTATCTGTTTGTATGCAGTATTGTCACGACACGTTCACATTTAATTTGTTAAGGTGAATTTAATTTCAACTTTTTGAATTTTGTACGTTTTCTTTGTTTGTTTTGTTTTTCTTTTTGAGTCCACCGACCCAGAGTGGTCCATCGTCCATTTGTTTCAGTGTGATCGAGACTCTAAGATGCCTTTATGTCACAAAGCTGAATTGTTTACTACGGGATGAAAGCTTCCACAGATGTGCAATCAATGCCTTTTCAGATGATAGTGAAACCCATGTCTGTGCTTTGGTTTGTTTGATTTCTTTTTTACTCCAACGTTACGTGTTTGTTAAGTAACAGTTGGCCACCGTGTGAGTTTTAAGTGACCTTGTTTACCTCGATCAGTACAGTTGCTTCAGTGAAGCCCCAGTTTTATTGGGATAAGGGAGCAGATGAATGGGTGTGACAGATGTTATTTTTCTATCCTGTTTGGGAGGAATTATGTTTGTTGTCTGTTTATCTCTCAGCACTCTAAACTATTAGAGCTGCTCTCCAATCGTGTTACATTTGTCCAGCTGTTCAGCGTCATTTGATACAGACCTTTATTGTTTTTGGTGGGTGGGAAGTTGAGGTCTCCCTCCGTGCCGCTGTGATATGCAGCAGCCCGGCTGGTGAGTCATCCAGAGCTCTTATCTGGAAAAAGCTCATAGGACAGATCTGACTGACTCAATAAAACGAAAAAAAAAAAAATTAAGATGTTTCCTTATTTTCATTCTTAACATGCCTTTGAATCAGGTGGAAATAGAGAGGAAATGCTTCTTATTTGAAAGTCTTAAATGAACCTTTCCGCTACATTTCGAGGGGTTTTCCCTCTTACAAGAACACGATGGGAGATATTTATGAGGCTCTCTCTCCGGGGCGCTGAACACTTCCTTTTCCCTTCCTTGTTAAAAAGCTCAACATGACTTGCATCATGAATACTGTATAAGCTACACTTCCGTTATCATCTCTGACCAAAACTCCTTCTTTTAAATATTTAGTTTCAACATAATTATACATCGTAGCATGGTGATATAAACCATCCAGGGGTGAAGGAGACATGCAGAGAAGGTGGGGTGGAGGAATTAAGACAGGGCGATAAAAAGGATGGAGAGGAAGCATAAACGTTTAGTTCACCTCTAGGACTTCACCTGCTTTTTGGTTAGGAGCTGATAATTACTATTTAATAGAAAGTGGATGGACGACAGCTGGGATACGCACAGGATGAAGGAGCGGGGGAAGATGGTTTCCTCGGACAGCGCGTACATGTCATCCACAGAGGATGGACAGACGCCCACGGCCATCACCTACCCTTATAATGAAGAACTAACACACAAGGTATTTATGTAACTATATTAAAAATGATGCGGGAAACTAACAATATACAAAGTGAAATTACAGATTACCACAGAAAAAAATATAAAATCTTAATTTACTTTTAAATTAACTTTCAAAAGGATGTGCTTTTTTAAATAATTAACTATTCTTTCCACAGTGACTCCTTCTGTGTCATTTTCTGGAAACATCTGTACCCAACAATAATCTAATAGCTCAGTGATCTAATGCCACCCAATATAACCTCCCTGTAGTACTAGGGGGTTATGGGAGTGCAGTGTGTCATGATTTATGAGTGTGAATGGATGAATGCGACATGTTGGATAAAATTAAAAAACTAAAAGCGCTGTCTAAGAACTGTAAAGAGCACATCACTTAATGTTCACCACCAGCAGGATAACTTCTGGACTTTGTCACAATCACAGGAGCTGCACAGTTTTAACTAAAGACAAAGCAAGTGAAATCCTGTTTATTGTCTCCGATTGTGGGCATTTCTTGCAGATAGTCTAATGGTTTAATCGCTCTGAATGCTCCGTAATTCCATTACTGGATATGTGTGAACAAGTATTCTATTATGGTAAGCCAAGAACAAGCTCCTGCTTCCTCACTAATTGAATTCATGGATGCATTTGCTGTTTTGCCGAGTTCTAGCCTGCCAGCAGCCCCAGCACATACTACATACTGATGGTTCCAATTTTGTTTGCAGGCTGCACTGAGCCAGTTGGCTCTCAACTCTTTAAATATCCAGTAAATGTTGAAGTCCTACATGAAAACGTGTGACAAGAAACTGCTTTGGCGAGAAAGTAGAAAATAAAATATGCACTGTAAAAGCAAAAACCTGCAGTCTTTTCAGCGTTTTACCAGAAGGAACGTGGGGTGATGTGCTCTCTCTTTTGGATGTTCAGTTTGAGCTCGAATTTTAATCTCATCATGGAAAGACCTCTGCAGTGTAGCAACGCTGTCACAACTAGTTTGACAAAATGTCAAATTTGGCTCCGGCAAAAGCACCAAATATGCCGAAGCATATGTGGGACTCTGCTGGCCTCTAAAGCTGTCCTGGGTCTCCTCAGTGTCAGGGTTCAGACAGGTCTCTGAAAAAGCTGTAGTTACCCCCCCCCCCGCTTTATAACATCCACACCACCAGTCTCCTGTGCTTTGACTTCTGTTTCATGGCTGCTCTCGTCTCCAGCGTCAGTCCTGAAAACGCTGCCAGCATGCTGACATCAAAATTTCATGTAGGTGGTATGAAATAGTAATCTGATGGTTTCCGAGGGGGCCGCACACTAAATCTAAGCTGGTCTGCATTGTTTCTACTTCAGGTGCTCATACCTGCTCTCTCTTTGAAAGGGATGCAAGCAAACACTTTATGTTATATCTGCTATTGAAGACTAAAAGCATCCTGCTCCGGAGTTTCCATCAAAAGGAAGCACTCTGGAGAGCGAGGGAGCCACGTAGCCTCAGATGTTCGGTCTGCATGTCACCTTGTTAGATTTTTAATGTGGGGAGCAAATTGAATGTGCAGAACCTGAATATCGGTGTTTAAAGTGAGGAGTACAGAGGCTGCCTGTTGTCACGCTGCACTCTATCTGAGCTCCTTGACACTGCAGATAAGAAGCAGGCGGTGGAGTCTGGCCTGCTGGAGGAGGAGGAGGAGGGTGAGGAGGACTTCTGTGTATGGGGAGGCGGTGGGGTGAGTAATGTCAATAAAGAAGGCAAGCATCTGCTGCCAAGGACCTCAAGGCTGGGTACTCTAGAAGCCAGGGAGACAATAACCATGGCGACAAGGCCAGTTGTTGCCAGAGCTGCGGTGGCAAGTCAGATGGCAGCTGGGGTGATGGATGACCCTCAGCAAACAGAGCCAGCGGCCGTTTCTGTGGCGCTGCGTGTTGCTTTTGTGCGTGCTGAAACGTGTCTGAAACGTGTACAAGAACATTTCACACCTGCATGACATCTTAAAGTATGTTTGTGTGAGATCTTTTCAGTTAAATTAAGCTGGCAGTAAAATAACAAATCAAGTAAAACTGCAGTATTACCACCAAAATGTTTTTGTTCCAAAGAAACGTGTCCCCTGTAGGACCCTAATGTGGTAATTTAGCTATTCTCAAAGCCAACACCCTGAAAATCCTTCCACCCAAATATTAAATCTTCACTCTAATCAAATTACAAGAGAGATTACGTTGGCTCACCTGCAGTACCTTGGAAGGCCATCAGGGGGCCCTGGCTCTCTCTTTGGGAATCACTGTGTTAACGAGTTGTGCTTCCCACCTGAGCTTCTGGTGAAACTGCTGCCGAAGCATTTTTTTTAAAATCGACATTATGTTGCAAATAAATAGTAAAATTTAAAAGAGCAAATTATTACACATAATTTATGGACATCTGTGGTTTGATTTCTTTGCATGCCTGGATTGGATGGGTTGTTAAGACTGTGAGAATTTCATTTCAACGGCAGCTTTAGAAATAGTTTTACTTAGAAAACCGCTGACGTGTTCAGTTCTTATTTTACCTGCTGTATCTTCCTGGTGAGATGATGGTAGTGTTACACAGCAAGGTTGTTATAGTTAACTAAAACTAAACTGAAACTAAATGGGAAACAAGATTTTATAAATAAAAACACATTTATATTACAGCTTGTGAGTCCACTGCTTTTAAAATATGTGTTTTTATTGTAATACCTGCACTGATTTTAATAAATCTTCCCTTTAGTATGACTTACAATATACAACAACACCTAAAAAGACTAGAACTCACACTGAATGTAATAAAAACTAAACTAAAACTAAAGATTTTTGAACCAATGAACTAAAACAAACAATCAAAAAATAACTGAAACTAAACCGAACTAAAACTAACAGGTCAATATGAAATAAAAGTTCAAAAATATGAAAAAATACAAAACTATGATGACTCTGCTGCCCAGAACCTTAGAATATATTTAGATTTAAAACCTCCACATGTGACATTTTTGTGCTGTTTCTATAGATCCACTGTAATCTGTAATGCATATGTAATATGATGCAGTGGGGGGGATAATTGATGTTGAGTCCTGGGTTCAAATCCAGCCTGGGGCCTTTCTGTATGCAGTTTGAATGGATGGTTGTCTGTTTGTGTAATCCCTGTGATGGATAGGTTAGCTGGGATAGACTCCAAACTCTAATTTGGAAAAGCAGAAGAAAATTAATAGATTCCACTTGCTTATTTTTAAGATATCCTAACCTAATGCTAAGAAGTTGTTTTGCTAAACTGTAACTTGCCTGAACTAAAATTAGTTGGTGACACTTTATAAAGCGGCGCATGAACACAAGAAATTTCAACGTATTTTATTTGAAATTATGATGTAGTTATATTTACCTACAAATACTTAAAGTTAGATGAACTAGAATAAGGGGATAACAAATCTGGCTTTTACACAAAAAGATAATACTATGCTGTGAGTACATTTAAGTGCAATTTCATGGTAATTTTGCAAGAAAACCAAGTTATTTCCCCATCTTACATCCTAAATATGCTGTACTTTTCAGGGCACGGGCTGTATTATGAAGTGCATTCATCTCACCTGAATATTCGTTAGGTTAATGTACGTGATCGATGTTTTATTACTTAACAGTCCTTTTATGTATATTACAAATGTGACGAAGACTGTTCTCCCTGACCAGCTTAAAGTGAAAATAAATGTGTGTGTGACCTATTAGAGAGCCAAAGTTAAGCCACTCCATAATATGACCTGCACCCTGAAAAGTACAGTGTAGTTACAATGTAAGATGGGGAAATACACTTTATTTTTCCACAAAATTAATATATTATTCAACACTTTACTGAAAGAATAGTTTGTTTCCTGTGAAATTTCCGTAGGTATGCAATACTTAAAGTTAATCAAATTATTTTGGCACATTGCACACTACTTAAAATGAGTTATACACAACTTAAATGTACTCACAGCATAGTCATTTCTTTCTTTCATGTAAACACCTGACCTTTTACCCCTTTATTCTAGTGTAGCTACCTGTAAGTATTTGTAGGTAAATATAATTATATTGTAGTTTCAAATAAAATACACTAAAATACCATGTAATTACAGGGTAATTACACCTTTAGTCACGGGCTGTATTATAAAGTGTTACCTGTTGGTTAACACCTCTGTATCCAAAGCTCTTTACTTTGATGAGCTGTACTTAGGTTAACAGTTAGAACTGAAGTGAATCTGTGATGTCTAAGAGAAAAATGGGAGTAACAGAGAGATAGTGGCACCATAAGGGTACAGGAGCAGATGTGAGGCATCAGTCTGAGACGTGAGCACGGATCTTGCACACATAACCCGATTACATTCCCGCTTCACCGGTGCCCATTGTGCTTCCCTCTTTTTGCTGTTATTGACTCCCAGCTCCGGCTGTCACACAGCATCATGGAGCACAGAGCTCCACACTGAGCAGCCTATGAACACACGCATTGTCCTACACCGCCTGTGCCCACACAGCGCAGGGCCTCGGGCGACAAGTAGAAGCTGCAGCGCTGAAGCCTGCATGATGTTGCCTCTGTCTCTCTGTAAATCTGTCTGCAGACCATCCTGGTGGGGGACAGTGGAGTGGGCAAGACCTCCCTGCTGGTTCAGTTTGACCAAGGCAAGTTCATCGCAGGGTCCTTCACCTCCACCGTGGGCATCGGCTTCACGGTGAGTCCACTTTTCATGTCCACCGCTCACCCCACCCACTCTGTATTTGTTCTGGCTCACTCATACTTCTGCCTTGCTCGCCCGTGTGTCTGTGTGTGTGTGTATATATATATGTGTATGCTTTCTCTCCCTCCTCCTCCCACCTCATTAAGCCGCTGACTTCACCCGAGTGTTGAGGGACATGTCACCGTGATGGGCTGTTTGCACTAAAGTCGTGACATTTGCTGCGAAGCAAATCTTCTCTGTTTGGGTGCTGGGGAGTGTTTGACTCCTTCGGTATGTGTCAGTGAAGTGCGATGTGAATCAGCGGCGCTTCTCCAGTGCGCCAATGTTGCATTTTATCACTGCATTCATTATAATCCTTACCACACTGCAGGGGTTAAGGATTATAGTCAATGATGCCAATGCTACACTTGAAATTACTATCAGGAGAGCACAAGCGATGGATGCTGAGGCGTGCAGGCTATTTGCTGCTGGATGTTTGTTGCAAAGATGCTTCCAACAAGACTGATTTGATGCTTTGTGACATTTTCTTTTTTTTTTTTGTGGCTGAGGGTCAGGCTGGGTGACAAGTGAAGGCCAAAGGAGACAAACAGGAGGCATGCATGGCTTAGTCTGGTGGATTTTTTCCCCCTTGTTGCCACACTGATGATAACTTTGGCTTTGTGTCATTGCCATTAGTGCAGTGCAAAGGAGGGGGAAAATCTGCGGGAAAGTAGAAAACTGGCTTTGGCATTGCACATTTGCATAAGTTTGCAGAAATGTATGATCTAAGGTTCAAACGCCCTGCAGAAAGATGCACTACAAAAATAAATAGATAAATAAATAAATCTTCTGGAAGCGTAAGTGTGCTGGATTAAAGTCAGGGGTGAGACAGGGTGTGCAAAAAGCGCCTTTCATTGGGTGTCTGCAGGCGACACTTTGAAAGGACCTGGCTGAGATGATCAGCAAGGTGGAAATTCAGGCAGTTGTGCTGAGCTGGCCGGAACAAATTGAGATTTAAAGCTTTTTCAGTCTCTGCGTTCAGATATTTTAGACATGTCTTCTCTTCATAAGCCGTAAAGCAGTGAACCGGGGGGAAAAACGGGCACGCAGGAACTGGTAACTGACAGTTTATCTGATACGATCTGAAATGTTAAATTGACTCATTTTCCTCAGCTGCACCTCCAACGTGCTGCTCTGACACGGCTCCGTCATGTCAGTTAGTGAGTGTTTTTTCCACGTGGAGTAATTTGTTGAGAGTGAGAGACGCGAGTTCTTTAATGAGAACTGTGCAGGTTTGATTTCAATTACTATAACTGAGCAAATAAAGCAACACGACAAAAGTGGCACAAGGTAAAAAAAAAAAGAAGACTTGCACAGAGCTGTGAAAGTATTTGCCACCTTCCTGATTTCTTAGCTTTTTTTGTATATTTGCCAAACTTAAATGTTTCAGATCATCAAACAAGTTTTTTTTAATGGTGATTTAATTGGTGGAGGGGAAAAAAAGTTATCCAAACTTACCTGGCCTTGTGTGAAAAACTAATTGCCCTCTAAACCTAATAACTGGCTGTGCCACTCTTAGTAGCAAGAACTGCAATCAAGTGTTTGTGATAGCTGACAGTGAATCTTTCACACAATAGAAGGAATTTTGGCCCAGATTTGTTTTAATTCAGCCACACTGCAGGGCTTTCAAGCACGAACAGCCTATTTAAGGTCATGACTTTGACTAGGCCAATCCAAAAGCTTAATTTTGATGTTTTTAAGACATTTTAAGACATTTAAGACATCATTGTCTTGCTCCAGAACTCAAGGGCCTTTCAGCTTCAGGGGACAAACTCATGGTCAGAAAATATCCTTCAGGATTTTCTAGTAGAGAGCAGAATTCATTGTTCCAACATTTGCAACAAGTTGTTTAACTTTGTGTTTTTTGGTCAGCAGTGGTTTTCT